CGTAACTGAGAAAATTTTCCGCACTCAAACTGGATTTCTCGTTACCGAGCTAGGTTTCGCGCTCGACAAATATTGCACCTAATTCTGGAGAAATTGCAGATATGATCATTCAAAAGAGTCGCTCCCAATAAAACAGCTCATAGCCTGCGCATATATGGGTTCCTGAATCGGGGCTACGCTGAAGACTTGGCCTATTTGTGTTTTCCTCTATTACATAAAGTCTAATTTTAGTGGGTCCACCTTATAGGGAAGAGAGCTTTCCTTGGAAAAACACCCCCGTAGACGAAAAAATGTGCAAATTTGGACAATCCGCCAGAAGAGCGGAGGGCGATGCCGCGCTCGTCAACAATCAGACATGGCTTTTTGATAATTTGGTTTTTTAGACAAAGAGCTTTGTGAAGCTGCATCAGTGGTGCCCAAAAGCGGTCTGCATAACTTTCCAAGCTTAAAGCTATTAAGTTCACAAAGGAAATTGAGATACAAATAAAACAACGCTAAATAAATATTAAAGACAGATGATACGATAAATTGGACGCTGTTGGAAGTAGCCTTTGATGTGAAAAATGGTGCAGTAGCGATGACCAGGGGATTCGCCGTGTCTTAGTAGCCAGTTTCTGCCTCTTGGTTCACGGGCTCGCTTAGATTCTACTACGAACAACGTCATTAAAATGGACACCTTGCTCTGCCTTTTCAAGCTGCTTCGCCACAATAGTAAGCGTTTACCGTCAACCAATCATAGGCTGAGTTGGCCCCCCGAAGGCGCGGCTTACTACGAGCGAGGCCTTGCAAGGCCGCTACAAGCGTGCTCATTACCGCAATTCATAGTCACAAATATCAGTTCCTCGGAAAATTAAACTCCATTTATAATAGGTTGTCCTCTTCTTCCACACCCAGTTTATCATACAAGCTGCCTTTAGGCCGCCGTGGCTGTTGAGCGTGGGAGATACGGCTTAGTGGGTTTTCCTACATTACATATGAAGTTTGTTTGTTTGTATTCATGCTAACACCATTTTGCGCGAATTTTGAAACGAACTCGAAATGCAAAAATTTGTCACCACGAGGAATCGAACTAGGGACCTCTTTGTCTGGCATTCAGA